GATGAAAAAAGAGAGCGGAGCAACAGTGAAAAATTGCATCGAAGAAAACGAAAAGGAAGAAGGTGAGAAAGGAAAACGTGCACGCGTGTACACGTTGTAAATGTTGTTTCGCGGGCGATTGAAACTTAACGCGGCGTCGCGCGATATTTTATGCAACGGGACCAGACAACGCTAAATGAAAAATGCATAAAGAGACACCGGACCCGACTGTCGCCCCCGTCGATCATGGATTTTAACGCGCGTTCACCGGCGCCAAGAGGTTTTCACGCTTCCTCCTTTCATTCGCGATCTCTCGATTTTTCCTCGTCTCTTTTCTGGGGCCGGAGAGAGAAAGAGAGGAACAGGGACGTCCGTGTTGCTACGCTAGGCACAAAACGTGACCACAGGAACATGAAAGCCTTAATGAGCTCTCTCGCTAACGAGGAACGAGTTCGTTCGGGCGAACATCAGCTCCATCCACGTCGCGGAAGCTAGACTCGTTGAAAGCAGCTTTTCTCGGGATCGACGTAATTCACCGTTAACATGATCACTGCTCGACGATGTACATATATGCGAGTACGATGTACATACATGTGTATGCATTTTATGTAATCATATATATTACGTATTATGTGCCATGTGGGGCGTTAATCGTATCAGATTAGAGTCAGAATCAGTTGGTTCGCGTCAATTTAAATCAATCTCCAATTCCCTGTGGGAATCACGGAATATTATGTCCCGCCAATGGCACGGGACTATTGTGCTAATCAGCTTTACTTCGTCGCGGCGTGTATTGTCGTGTAGTCAATTATTGGCTAGCAGCCGAGCTAATGAACATTTGAATATTCATCCGGTTCGACGCTGGTCTACAAATTTCTCCGATTCACGACTGCAATGCCGGGTGGAAGCAGCACGGTCGACTTCGACCGTCGAACTTGAGTAGAGTTCGCCTCGGGTGACTGACTATTATCTTACTGCTTAGCGGAGATTAAGATAGTTGGTTTGTTGGAGTCAGCAAATGATTTCAAGGATTTTAAGAAAGGATGATGGTAGTAAAGGTAGGCGAGATAAGTAAAAGTTCTTAATTATGGAAATTTCATTATAACCGGAAACATGGGATTAGTCGGAGGACTGAGATATCTAAAGTAGGAGACTGCAATGGTAAGAACATACTAATGATTTCAGGATGCGGAAAATCAATTAGCTAATGCAACCGGTTTACCAGCAACACAGAATGAATCCACAGAAGTGATTGGACTGAGTTATGGAGAAGGCAGCATGAACTGACGACTATCCACCCCACGCTCCTCTGGGAGACATAAAAACCAACCTACCTAGATTTTTCCTGATCGTTCAGTACGATGAGAAGAACTCGTCGGATTTGTCCTGCCTATCGAATAATAGCTCAACTTCTCCGCCGGATATACGAATCATGTTTTAATCATTCGCAGTCTTGTCAAATTTCATCGATTCAAACATTTCGTTAACTTTGAAGTTCAACTGGCTGAATCACGGTGAAAACCTTCGATCGAAATCAACAGTTCAATCGCAAATAACAGAGTATACCTTAAATCGATTATCTCGAATGCAATTACTTAACAATATTCAGAATACGAACTACTCGAAGACCGAAACACTCGAAGTTACCATTAAAAGACGATAACAATGAAACTTTATCTCGCAACGAGAAACGTGGAAAGCTTCTTCACAGCTTTCCCTCGAGGAGAACACTGCAGACGCTCGTCGATGCGGATGCTCAAGATTTTTCGGTGTATCAAAACCGTGGCGCGACTGGAGGAATGCAACGGGATAATGTTATATTACGGTGCAACAAAGCGCGAACTTAATCCGTTTGTAGTCCCCAAAGTTTCATCAAACGGGTTGTGATTTCATCTTGACGTGGTACCGCGGGCGGAGGCGGAAGATAATGTAGGGAAGGAAACGCCGGTGAAAACAGAGGGTGGAAGAGAATCCGGGGAAACCGGCAGGCAGACCTGAGCTATCTTCAGTCTGGCGATATTCTACCGCGACTACATTAGACGGCTTATCCGCTCATTATGCGGCCCGACGATCGCGCTTATACTACAAACTTACGACCTTTCCGTTAAGCTCTCCGTCGCGGGATCAACAAACCCCACGGTTCTTCCGTCCTGAATCATCGCGATTAAACCGACATGATCCTGAATTATACACCTCGCACGGGGAATTTAATTCACCCTATTAATAGCTTTGTATCGATTGATCAATACTCAAGAAATATAACTGCTGTGACTATCGGAAGCGAGACTATGAATCTTATTTTCATACAGTTACTTTGTTATATTAGCCCTTAACGGCAGAAAGGCCCCAATACGGGGACATAAAATGAATTTAGTTTTCATTTCATTTATTTATCATCGTTGTGGTTTTCTTTATCAAATATTGCAACTTATTAGATCATTGGTTTGTTGATCATGCACTGGCAAAAAATATTTACCGTAATATAACGTCTTATGGGTGTTTTATTACAAAGAAGCTATCAGCCGTTAAGAGTTAGTTTATCGAACACTTGAATCAGCGGAATCATTATATTCTTAAATAGCCTCTCTTGCAGATCCTATTTATTTGTTTGCGAGGAGTTCTAACTCGATTACATTTAACAGAAGGAAGTTCGGACTGAAAGTTGGGTGACTCGGCGAGATTCATGGGTATCAGCGATTCCGAATGCGTGAATCGATCCGAGAACGAAAGTAGAAGAAAGGACACCGGTGCTGGGTGGAGAGACTGCACTTAACGTGACGGTTATATATCGTTCCGCAGGACGGAGCGGAAGTGATATGTGGCCACGTTTACCAGCACGCCTAAACGCACTATTTCTTGTCCAGTCACCGAACTCTCCCAGAAGATCTTGCAACGGTTGCGAAGGAGTACATTCAGGATAGGTTACAATTGCTTTAGTTTCGGGCGAATTCCTGGCGGAGAATCTATCCATAATGTTCTAACTATTGCTTTTATAATAATAAATAATTCCATCACAGAAATAGCAAAATATGTGTATTACCATCTTCATTGATATTATCCTGATGTCTTAATGTGAAATCTAATTATACCTTTTATAATGTCTGTTCTCACGAAGTGGATTGATTTTAAATAAAAATTGATTTGAATGAAAAAGAAAGTATTATAACGGGTTTTTCCTACTGTATCCATTGTGTTTTTGAATTATGCAGAAGCACTCTGTTGGTAATAGTGGACAGTGCCATCTGTTGTCAAATAGAGACACCCCATGTATCTCTTTAAACTTGAGCTTCCCGCGCAAAGAAATGTACGTTACGAGGAAGTCAACAAAATTGGCAGAACGAACTTACGCATGAAGATAAGAATATTAGAAAAATGGCATTGATAATGATGCCGTTTCAGACATTCGATTATAGAACATAGAAAAGGGAACTTACCTAGTAATTCCTTGGTCGCAATCGCAGCTGCCGTTGCCGATTTGATCTCAGGTCCCTGCGAATCACCACTGCATTTGACAAATTGCCAGTCTTCTCTTAGTTTCTTCAGTTTCTCCTATTACAAACAAAAATGGTTCAAAATATTAGATCCAAGAGCACTGTAATATATTAGGTCAGAATGTTCAGAAAATTAGCACGTGGCTTCATGTACTCACTTGCAATTCCACGGAGATTGGTTGTTTCGCAGATTCGCATTCTTTCTCTAAGTTAGTGTAATTTTCCAATACATCTTTTACTTCCATTTCGCGGTCTTCTACTTTAGTCTAAGATAACAAAATTAAACAATTAGCTGCGTTATATTCTTTTGGTACAACAGACCGATGCACTGATGCTTACCATGACATTGTTAATAACTTCAATTCGCTCTTGTTCGGTCAACTCTCGAGATATACTGATTCGAGTTCGAGTTTCCATGACCCATGCCATAACAGCATCGAGAGTGCAGACATACTTCTTAAGAGAAGCAAGCTTACTTTCGACGTATTCACGATGATTCGAGAGATTTGAATTGGCCTATAGAAGTAGTAATTAATGATTAACTGGGGCTTGAAATATCACGTAAGTTTAGGTTTATTTTATTTTTCTCTCGTATACAATAATTCGATTTAGACAATACCTTGTCCATATCAGCAAGTAATTTATTACATTCATCTTCTCCTGGAGGTATAGCATTTTGATGTACTAGATTTTGCAATGCTCTTTTACAAGAAGAAAGTTCTTCTTGTTTTGCCTAAAAATATTAATTTTTAGGTAGTACAGTAATTATAAAACCCCCTTTGCTGGGATGACAGGTTTATGTTTGGCAGGAAAATATACAAAAAGGGAGAGTTCAATGCTATTTATGTCTTGGCACAGTTTCGTTTGTACAGTCATGGCATGAGAAGGTATTATTAGGTTCACATTCAGTGTATTTAATAACGTAACAGTGGACAGTAGTGTACAAATACTAATTTTTTAATTAAAAAATAAATCTTTTATTAAATGTTATTGAACGAAAGTGTGAACTGAGTTTATAATTAATAGGAAAACTTGAAGGAAATTGAGTAATGTGAATACTGGTGTTAAATAAACGGTTGATTTTCCGTATAACTTGACCTATTGTTTTTAAAGATAGTACTAATAATTTTTTAGACACAACTTACTTTGATTAGTGACAGTCTTATTGATAGAGAGGTTTCATCTGATGGATTTGCTGCAGACACCAGTAAGGAATTTATTTGCTCCAAAATGTTGTAAGCACTATCTAAAATTCTTCCTTCAGTACTTACTTTTCTTTCCATGGCGAAATTCCTTAAAAGATGTTATACTGATGTTAAACACTATATGAAGAAGATACTAAACATTGCTACACGAACTAGTAATTGAAAAGAAATTAATCTAACTCTATAATCATACCGAACCGGAAGATTTAAACTTATTACTTTTCTGAATTTTTATACGAATTTCTTTATTAAATTCGAGATTATTCTGCGTTGAACACTGCAGCACCAGAGGCAAATCACAACTGAAATAGCTCAATAGGGCGCTTTGAATGTAACGTGTCCATCAAAATCGTTGAACTACTAGTCTTAAGAACTAACTATAAAACGGCAAGAAACTATAAATAGTTCATACAGAAAATTTAATACATACTTTTCTTTTCTTGTATTTAAATCAGCCACTAGATTTTGCCAACGGCGCTTTATCATTTCGATCATGTCTTTTAGCTCAATCATGTCTTCAACTTTGGAACGAGAGAAAATACTGGCACTCGTAACGTTGATATTATTCACAGTCCTTTGCATTCTAGAAATCTCTTGTTCCAATTCATATAATTTTGTCTTTGATGATTTGGAATGACCGGTAGGATTTACTTTCTTTAAAGACTCTTCTGTTTTATCTAGCCACTCGGAGAAACTCCTACATGTGTGGCAGAGTTCTTTCCATTTGTCGTAACACTTATTCCAACGATTGTATCTTTCTACGTAACTTTGATTAACGTTAATCCATTCTTCTCGCAATTTATCACTCAAACGTCTTATCTGTTCAGCTTGATCTCTTCTTAATTGAGAAGCAACGTTTTCAAAAACCGAGTTACTTTCTTCAATACTCGGTTTAAGAATATTCAAAGCATTACTAATCTTTTTTAAGCAATCTTCTTGGTTCGCGAACATCTCATAATCATCGCCATTCAATGGCATTGAATTTAGAGATCTGGTCACAGTCACGACAGCTTCCCTAATCTTATTAACTCTCGTGGTAAATTCTTGCAAGTCAATCCTGCCTACATCCTATAAAATAAGAAATTTTAGTGTAATATTTTTAATGGCAATAATTTGTAGTTATAGATATAACGTATCTTATATATGTGTACATACCACTTCCACTTTCTTATCAGTGACATGCTTATCTTTATCCTTGCTACCGCTATATCTTTTAAACTGAGAGCTAACTTCCTGCCATCTACTATTAATACTATATCGTATAGTTTCGGAGTATCCAACGTTTAATCTTTTTAATTCGACGGCCAGATCATTTAATTTATGAATCTGCTCTTGCTTAGTATCAAATTCTGCTGTGAACGACTCCAACTGACCTTCATAGTTATTCACTTGTTCAAGTTTCAAGGGGACATCCCTAAACCAATCTTCAAAGTCTGCTATTATGTTATTATATTGTCGTAGCATTTCTTCGCCGCGTTGTGCTTGTATTCTCCTCGTTTCGATCTCTGACATAACTTGATGCCATTTACTCCTTAACTTATCCTGATGTTCATTCTTTATCTTCTCAGCCCTAACAGGATCAGATGTGTGCACTGTCATGACTAGACCATCGCCTTTGCTAATTAACGCTGCTGCGTCTGGTGCAAGAGTACTAACTTCACCTTCTAGTACCTAAAATATATATTAAATGTATAAAAGAATTATTATACTTTCATCATAAAAATGTACGGTATTTATGCAAACCTCAAGACGCTTTGTAGGGTCTTTTTCATTAATAATGCCACTAATGCTCATAAACATAACATCCATTCTATGCAACATTTTTTGAGCAGCCTGTTCAAACTCCAAAATACATTTTTCCAGACCTGTTCTGGATAAACATCTCTTATAAATATTCTTAACGCCTGAAACCTTCGTCTCAGCCTTCTGTTGCGATTCCTGCGTTAACCTTTCAGCTTGTATCTACACATAACAATGGTGTGAAAGAAATTTTAAAGAAAATATTAAGTTGATTTACGTGTATGTGTCAACCTTCACCTATCGCTATTTATTCGCGAAATTGTTCAATTATGATTAAATAGTTACAAGAAGAAGTAATATTACAGGCACTATGAAACTTTCAATGGCAAATTGTATGCCATTAAAATTACCTTGTCCAAGAGGTGTTCAACATTTTCTCCTAAATTTAGGTCTTCCCCTTCTGAACTGGAACTTCCAACATCAATTTCTGTGTCGTCAGAAAAAATTAAAATATCGTCGGTTTCTTTATCACTCCCGTAAAAACTTTCACAGTCTTCTAACGTATCATCTTTGGACATACTTCTTGCGCGTCTATATAACAAAGCTCGAGTGCTCTTTTCAGAATCAAAGTTGTCTTTCTCATTCGAACGTATTTTAGAAATCTCAATGTCTCTATCAGATGTTGCGCTCAACTTTGATTTCGTTTCAGTTTCCTCGAGGATAAGATATTCGGCGACACTGTCTTTGTCTTTCCACGTATACGATACACCTTCTTTAGTTCTATTTACATTGCAATACAACTGTACATTCGATGACGTTTTACTACTTTCTACCTTAATGAATTTGCTACTTGAAACCTGACTATTTGAGGGTACCCCTTCAGTGTCTAATTTAAGAGTTAATTTTTTTAGATTTTTAGCAGAATATGGATCTATCGACTTGGTTTTCTTTAAAATAGGAATGAGCTCTCTCTTCTTGTTAATGATTTGCCCTCCAGTACAAATTTTTCCTCTAGCTTCTTTATCCTCGGTGTCAGTATCTACCGATTCCGGCTCTGTCTCTGTATCCTCAACAATTTCTACTCTCTCAACGACTTGTGGCATTAATCCTACACTGACATTTGCGCTTGGCAATATTACATGGTCTTCAGGGGATGCAACAGACTTTTTGATTTCCATTTCTTTCACTTCTACAATACGGAAGGGATTCGTTTGTGCACTGTATTCGTCGTACGGTTTTGAATCAGTTGTTACCAATGTATTGGTGGATACTTGGGAGAATAAGGTACTATTTTTTGATAAAAAGAATTCTTCGTCGGGCATGTACAAATCTGCGTCGGGGGATGAAGAGGGTATATCATCGTCAATATGAACAACTTGCGGCTGAGAAGTTTGAACGACATCCGGTATAGAACTCATGTCTAATTTCCGTCTAACGGTTCTACTAACATCTACAACTTTAGTCTTTACTTTCTCAGACTTTGCGGAAGACTTCCGACTTCTATGAACTATATCGACTGGCGAGGTTTCGGGTGTACTTATAACGTTAATCTGATTATCGTCAAATGCAGGATTTAGGTATCCTATCCCGTATATTTCCTCATTCTTATCTACTAATTTATTTTCTTTTTTAACTAGCTGCACCGAAGTTTGTTCCGGTTGTCTAGACAGTTTAATGCGTCCGTAATTGTCTCTCCCCTTAGTTTCTCCCGCTTTACTTTTTATTAATAAATTGTCTGTGATTTTGTGGATCCATTCCTGTGAAAATATGATAGGTAACAGAAAATTCATGGACAGGCGACGGTTAATTGAAAGAGCATGTTAATAGTGTGACAATATCAAGCATGGCCAAATGAAAGTGACAATGCAATTTCGTTGTGCGAACAAAGCTTGTTTCTGTTGCGTGTATCCATCACCAATACAAAAACTTGGAGCACATTTCATGTCATTCCTTATTGCGTGTTCTTCCGACAAATCATATTCAGACCTCTCTATGAAATTCTATACAAGGGGAGAGACAATGTCACAAATAATTGACCAGTAACAATGCATTGCCATCCACCAAAGATGATATCTGTTTCTCCACTAATAATAAGAGTATTATGTACATAGCTAGAAACACCTCTTGGACAAAATATTTGGCATACTTCACTAACATGTATCAACGTAACTTACACATAATCAGCAGTGAATATTCAAGTGTACATTATAATGAGTAAACTTATGTAGTTACTAAATGTAGCTAAGGTATTTTCCAAGTTAAAATTAATTACAAAATACATCAATCTTGAGAAGCACCACAATCAAGAATTAGATAACTTGATTAAAAATTCATAATCGATATTAAAGAATTTAAAAAGTCAAACACAAAAGTGTGAATTCTTTTGAATGAGATATACGTAATGGTACTATAAAGCACAAGCATTACATATACCAAATGTTAAGATAAAGAACAAGCAATACAAGCCATGAGAAAATAAGCAATGGATGATATTCAAAACTTCTTACGACATACGTACTTGTATTCTATTTGATATTTCTTCCCACTTGTTGCACACTTCAGCTACTTTCGGAAAATAAGTACAACGCTGCAACTGATTAACCTTTGGCTTTGCTTCTATCATTTCACTTTGGACAGCCTGAAATGAAACATAATTTTATCAAGTACGTTACAATTCAAGTAAAATCTTAACGTTATGTAAATATTAAAATGCCGTGTAATCTTAATTTACCTTGCATTGCTCAAAATGATTTTCTGTCAACTGATCAACTGGAACAGTATCCAATTCATTCAATTTTTCTTCAACTTGTAAGAGCCATGCATTTATTTCGTCAACATTAGGTTCTTCCTAAAATTACATAAATTTGTTTCGTGAAATCACTGCAATCATTTTCTGCGTCTAAATATTTACCTCTGTAGCACTACAATGTTTTAATCTTTTTTCAGTGTTTGCTAATCTGGTTGCAATATCTGACAATTTCTCCTTAAGTTGCTCCAGATACATTGGGTCACAAAGCTTAGAAAATTCTTCTTGGGATTTGAATAACTTATCTTTCACAACATTTAATCTTGGGATTACTTCTGTCATAGTTTCCTATTTTAACAAGTATTTATATAATTTATATTCGAATATCTAAAACTAACTCAATAAATATTATTACAAACACTGATTAAAAACTTACTCGCACGTATATAGCAATGACAGGTAAATCAGGCATATTCTTTTGTTTATCTAATTCTTTATTAATGCTATCTATGGACATATTAAGGTAGGACATATTTTTATAGATATCACGTGACAAATCTAAAGCTGTTTCCAAAGATGACTTTGATTCTGTTATGTGTAATCCCAGCTGCAATAAAGAAGTAAAACGTAATCGTAAGTTTTAACTCCAAAAACATAAATTCGCATACTAATACTGTATCCATATTACCTTATTATACAATTCTTTCAACATATCAATCCGTTTGGAAAATTTCTCTGGTTCAACAACACTTTTCTCTTCAACCAATTTTCTACCAGTGAGAATGATATTTTCAATTTCACTTTTAATTTCACTTAATGTTTGGTAAAAACGCTATAAATGTAAATAATTTATTATGATTCCCTAATCTTCGCAGAAAACGAACAATATAATTCTAATAATTAATTACCAAACAATGTTTAAGTTGGCCATCAATGGCTTCTGGATCTTCTGAAGACAACTCCAGCAAACAAGTCGCTTCTTCGATTCCTCTCAGTTCTCGCAAAGCTCTAGATAATCTTGGCTCCAAATTCGTTGGACAGCGGAAACGCTGAAACTTCTTTTGTACCTCGGAAAATGTTTGTTCTATAAGACACAACTGTTCTTGTAATCTAAGCGCAACTTCCTGCTTTCCAGCGGCTTTGTACGATTCAATTTGCATCGCCATATCATGTAGCGTTGATTGTTGATGCTCCATTTTCTCCATTAATTTCTGGTACGGATAAAAATGTATGTTCCATTAATTGTATCTTGGTTCTCCTGCATTTAACAACTTATTAATTGCAAGCGAAATATCTTCAAAGTGTTATGCAGCCATACATTTGAATGACTATTTTCATTGGAGTACAAAAAAACATTCTGCTAGAAATAACATTCTCTCTGTCATGCTTTTTCATAACAACGCTCTATATACAATATTCATTAATGTAGAAGCAAAGAATGATTCATTTACACATGAATTTTATAATTGTCTTATTGAAACGATTAGATGGGGAAGTAACGAAAATTTGACTAACAGACCTGATAATCATGAGGCAAATCATCAGCAGTAAGGTCGCAGTCAAGAAGTGCAGTTAATTCAGAATCTATTTGCGTTAAGGAGTCTTGAAGAGCACGAATGCGTCCTTCTGATTGCTGTGCTTGCTTCACTGATCCTTCCAGCAGCTTGGCCCGCTGCCCTGCCTACTCAAAATGTAATTCTAATCTTCCGTATAACTTCATTAAATATGTTATTATATATACCTTTAGAATCGTGAATTTAACAATAATCTAATAATCTAATCTATTGCTAAAATCCATAATGATTTGAATAATTATCTAAAATTTTAATCATTCAAAAAAAAATCTCAAAAACTTAACTGATCGATATGACGAAAAAAAATAATTCATCAGAAGGACCAAAGCAATTTTTTCAAGCAGAGTAAAATAATCTTCAAACACAACATTTTTTTTTTATATATAAAAAAACTTTCAATTCTTCTTTAGCAGTGGTGCATGCAGTTAGACATAAATACAATTTTGAATGTTAAACACAAAATTCAGAGAAAGAAAAATAACATTTCAAGCGCTTCGAATGTGCACATCGCGTAATGGATATTGAAAAATCAATGCATTCTTCGTATACGTAACATTCACATACCTGATTATTTAAACTTTCCCAACGGTTTGTCAAGCTTTCCACGTCTGTTTGAATAGACTGGGTCATGATGTTACTTACAATCAATTGTTTACCTATCTCTTGGATTTTTTCGAGTCTCATTTCTGGATGATTTCGTATGTAATTCTCCAAATCCTTTTCAAAACACAATTCGATTATTTCTCAAAAACTAATTATAAATTATTGCGTTATTTACTGCTGCTACGAGTAGACAGACTACGAACGTTTAGACTTACATCGAGTTCTTCTGAAATTTCTTCAGCGTCAGCGGCGCTTTCTGTGGACCTCTTAAGTCGTTTGTCTAACTTATCCAACCAGTCACTTGCTTGTGCAACCAGAGCACGAAATTCGCCATACTCATGACTAGCGTTTTGCAAGTGTCTATACCGCTCGTAAATACGATCCGTAACGTCAGTCCATCGAGCATTTAAGAATGTAAAACGTCTACCAAGTTCTTGTACCGAAGACCCTTCTGAGCTTAACAGTTTATCATTACCCATTTCATTAAGATTCCTAAATTCCTCTACTCGTTTATCAATCTTTTCTTTCAATAACTGATATCGACCACGAACTTGGAACAGTTCGACTGAGGATGTTATTTTTGTTTCAGCTGGTATTTCTTTCTCTAAAGCTGATAGCCACTTTGTAAAGTCTTCTATTCCATTTATTATCTGTTAGGATTGAAAGGAACGTATTAAGAGTCGCAATATGTTAGAATTCAGAGAGATTTCAGACAATTACCTCGTCATTCTTCTTTAAAGTCTCTTCATACTTATCGTTTAAACTTTTAGCACCGTCTACAATAGCATTCCACTTATGCGATATAACTTCTAATTTATTGTTCAACACGCTGGCAAACTTTGGTTCGGAATTCTCGAGTAATCTGTTCGTTGATGTTTGAAGTTTCTCTATTTTCGGTTTCTTTTGATTTATACGATCGGAAAGAGATTGAACCTGTTTTAATCTATGCTCGATAGCCTCAACGTCGTTAGTTACATTGTCTTTTGATAACTCCTCTAAGCGTTGATACGATTCCTCAAGCCAATACTCGAGTTCAGAAAGTTCATTATTGAAGTGTTTCAATAATTCAATATCTATACAATAACAACGCATATTTTTAAAACCATCACAATAAAAACAAATAAAATCATGTGCAAGTACCTTTCAACAAGTTTTGCTGACGTTCTTCTAATATTATAGGTATATCGCTCCATTTTGTATTAAGATCTTGCAATTCATCCTTGAGTCTCTGCCCCTGAGCGTCTCCACTCGTTTTCATGATTAATTCATGTCCTACGCTATTAACGTAATTAAAAATCTCTTGGTGCTCTTTTAGAGACTCCTGGAGATTACTGAATTTCTTTAACTGCTCCGCCATAGTCTGGTCATCTGACATTACTATATGCTCTGACAACAATGTGCTCTCCACATTGTTAATGAAAGAGGTAAGATTACCAATTGACTCCGTGTATTTTTTTGGCGGAGTTTTATCTACGGTTTCATTTATTTCGGCTAATTTTTCGGATAGTCTAAAACGAGATTCAAATTTAAACCTATGTTCATTCAAATGTTTCAATTAATGAGTGAAAGTTTATTTACGTTTTATACAATGTTTCCCAACTTGAAACGAAAGTTTGTACATCTACATTCAAGTTACAGCTCTCATTGGTACCGACTGAATTTTTCGACAACTCAGTGGTTTTCTCCATCAGTTTTTTAATGCGTTCTTCGTGAGACTTCATTGATTTCATTTTTACCTGTATTGTAAAAAATCATACTTAGATAAACATCTTGTTCGATCACTTTACTGTACTTATTTGAAAATAATGATTAAAACAATTACCCTAAATGGTTCAACTTGGCTGTTCCCTTTATTTGAGTCCAACCATTTGGAGTAGCTATCCAACATCAAATTCAAACTAGCCAATTCAGTTCTGAACTTCTTTATTTCTTCAAGGTATTCTATTCGACATTTTATTTCATCCAACCGATTGTTAATTGCCAGCCAACAATTCTGAACGTCTTTCAGCTTCGATTCTTCCGCTTCTGTCGATTCGTTCATGTTTTCCAATTCCTCAAGAAGTTGCTTTCCCAAATGCAAAACACGATTATAATCATCTTTATGCGACTCCGTATCAACTATCATGTCATTGTAGACTACTTTCTTTTCTTCAACACTTAATTGATCGAATACCCCCTCAGATCGTCCAATTTCCAGATCGACGTAATCAAGCCATTTGTACAGATTATTGAGCGCGGACTCAAATTCGTGTCTAGCTATACTATCCATTCTACGTTTCTTTGAGTCACTATGAGGCGTAGACTAGACAAAAATACATAACACATAATACTAATGTCATATAACACTTTCGAAATTTAACAAAAAACATTTCTACAGGAACATACCGTCGCGGTAATTTCTTCTTTATAAGCGATACTTGTTACTGTCTCGGACATCCATTCATTACCGGAAGTTACCATCATTTCCCTCTCGGATTTCAAATCGAACTCAAATCCTGAACTCGTTATCTATTACAATACAAAGCAGAAGCTAACATTTCGCGAACGAATACACTGAAATGTAATATATAAATAATTATACAATTCCTTTCCATTACCCTTTGAGCATGAACTTCCATTATTTGCCCCACTGCTTCCCATCTGTCCTGGAGGTTCTCGATATCTTGCAATATGTTAACGCACTCGGAGGAAGTGCTCTGACCCTCTAACTCTTGGACTGACTCTTGTAAAGAGGTCAATTTCTTCTGATTTGCATCCATTTCTATTTTTAGTATTTGCAACTTCTTAATTCTCTCCAATACTTCCCCGATCTCGGACGCTTGATTAGCTTCCATTTGTTTCAATGTGATTTCAGTTTCATTTAACCACGAGACCAATCTCTTGTAGTCATCATTTATGCTCTGCCAAAGCAGGGAAAGGGACTGCAGCCGTTGCCTTCTTTCCTCTTTCCACTTACAGATATGCGTCCATCGTTCACCGAGCGCGGATAATTGATCCTCCATTTGAGCGTAAACCGCTTCCGAGTTTTCCTCGTCCACAACAACCACCATGTTCCTCATGCCATCGACAACTCCTTGCTGCGCCTGAATATCTTGCTCTAATTCACTTAATTGATTCAGATGTTTCTCCAGGGCAGATGGATTCAATTCAGCAGCCGCCATTCGCGAAATTCTATCTTCGGTTCTTGTTAACCATTGTCTGAGCGCATCTAACTGGCCCTGTTGCATCTGCATCAGAACCTACAAATACATCCACCCTTGTATAGATATTACGTACAAAACACTTTCCTGAAACCGGTCATTTCGCTTAGCGAATGTATACAAATTACAGAATAAACTGTGCAACTTGTATACAAAATATACAACGAAAATTTGAAAAGGTGCATCAAGCTAAGGTGAACTTTCCCCTTCGTTACGACATTCCGTACTTTCGTACCTCATGAATTTTAGTTTGTCTCTCCATTGCCCGCATGCGAAGCCCTTCCCACCGGGAATTCAATAACGACATTTGAACACGAACTTCGTGTTCCTCGTCTTTGTGTAAGCCACCTTCTGCTAATAATCTTGCACCTTCCTCCAACACAGCACCGACTCCATCCTGGTGTCCGGACAGTTCCATTAAAAATGTCTCATGTTCGTGAAATTGTTGCTTCAGCACTTCCAGGCTTGAGCCCGGTTCCGGAGCATGGCTCAGTTTATCCTCTGCCTCTAAGAGCCAAGTTAAAACTTCCTCGAGTGCGACTTGATAACCGCCTAGCTCCACGGACACGTTCGTGGCTAGACTCATTGGTCTCGATGCCGGTGTCCCGAAATTAGTGAAGGATAATGGGTTCTATAAATAAAAGCGTTGGGTTTTTCGAGATGCACAGACGAAGTACATTGTGCCGTCGATTCTGATCAATTGATCCAAGATTATTGGATCGGAATGTTTACCTCAGCTCCTGGCGTCGTGACTGGGCTACCATCACTAGCTACTGAAAGATCTAGCTCGCCTATGTCGTCTCCGGAATGAGGTAGCGATTGGAAGAGGCACATAACGTACATCATTATCGACTTTTTGTCTGGTACGGATGTATTCACATCTGCGAGAAAGTGTTAAGCGTGTGAAGTTTGAAGCAATGAGTACAATACACTTCACTGCTAGTCTGTTCTTATTTCCCATCGCTTTTTCTAAGATTTAGTTAGGTGAATCAACAAGGAATTGAGGTCTACTATCGAAGGATTCTCATATTACTGATAACGATACAATTTTTTGGTCCTATTAGATATCGCTATTTATAGCTCATTAACCCCTTACACGATTTTAAGAATTTTTTTTAGAAGGGGGATACTTTAGTTATATCTTAAATTGTGATGTACTATGTAAGCATTAGTGATAGTGATCTAATTTACCCTCGGGATCCAACAGCCGTTCGATGCCCAGCTGTTCCTGAGCAATTCGAAAAGCATGGTCTAGCCTGGCGTTAGGGTGTTTGCGGGCTATATTATTAAAATCGAATAGATGTGGTTTTCGTCTGTGAAGGATCGCGTTGAAGGCAAGACCGTCCGACCAAGACGTAGTGAAATTTTTAATATCAACTCCAGGGTAATTCTGGAAGAAGATCGATGAAATGTAAAATTTGCAACGGGCCACGGTTTTCTGTTAGTAGCGAGACCGTCTGCGTTTTCTCCTTTAGTAAAACAAAGTTTCACCTGTGAATTCTGACGACACCATGCTAAAAGTGTTTTTTCCAAATTCGTTTGTTGCAACTCTGTCATCAGATCCTTCAAATGATAATGTACCTGAATAAACAATGCAATTAGTATCCAGCGAACAAAAAGTATTCGTTCAGCGGTCGCTGACGAATTAGGTCTAAAACGAGTCGAGTCAATCGTGAAACTGACCTGCCAGTGTAAAATAATACTCCATACTAATCCCAAAGTTAGCTTAGGATTACCGTCAACGATATCGTTGCTACTAATATTTACAAGTTTCACCTGGGAATTACACAAACGCAACGATTAACATACGGTAACTTTCATATTCGCAACGATAGCGTGATCATCGACTTACGTTGTTCTGTTCGAGAATTTGCAATGCTTTGTTAACATTGTTGAGATGGTGGACTCTCATTCGACCACGTTCTCTTTTCTGTAAATAGAACGATTTAATTGTTTCGGGATGAGTCAATTTGGTGCGTTCCGGCGCACTTTTATGTTTCTGGAATCATCGTTAAAATAAGACCCGTAAGTCACACGGTTTATAAAAAGAACTGAACCCGATGCGTATCTTCGGGACACGTAAAGACACCTATGGAACGAGTTAAATGCAGGGGGCAACACGCACTTTTAGCTCGGCATGCTCGTACGCCCACCGTGCATAGATAATCGCCGCTCTTATGCAAATATTCGTAATACCCGATACGCGCACCTGCTTGGAATCCTATTAGCAGAGCTCATAACGTACGCACGAATGCCACTGCTCCATAGGATGATTAAAAATAAGACGGGTATCGGAATGTTTTAATGATTATATCAAACGCAAAATGACCAAGCCGCGATAGCGGCAAGACGTATAATTATGTAATTATTCACTCGTGATGAGTATACTTACAGAATGTTCTCTCGATAAAATGAACTAGATTATGTTTACTATAAACAGATCAAATCTTAATTAATAGGTCACGATGGGAATATGTTTAATTAAACAATTATTAGTTCCAAACAACGTAAATTTTAATGAAGTGATTATATCGAATTACGCGGGGTACGGCTAAATTATAAACAACGAACGATACGGGCAACATGTTTAATTGTACTGTTATTTATTTAAAGTGAGTGTACTTACATAAACTTTAGACGTGAGGACTTCTAAAAGGGACAGTAAGCGATTGCCATCTCTTAAGTCGACGAACAAGTCTGTAATCGGTTCGTGCTGATTCTATAGAGAATATATTTAATCGATAAGTCGGCATTCTTCCATGGATCGGAGAACTAAAGGGTTACTAAATTACATCGTGTCTTAGACACTTTCACATAAATGTATTCCAATTTCCATTGCGTTGCGCCTGCAAAGTGAGAAACTTACCTTGAGCAGCTGCGAATTGATCCATTTCGCGAACGTTTTCTTCTGCACGTCTTCTCGTTCATCTGTAACACAGAAATACGCGATTGTATTGCTTGGAAAAGTCAACGTCGGATATAAACTGTAAATTTATAGTTGCATTATCGTATCTCCTCGGTCGCACGAGTGAACGTTAAACATAAAAAAGAAGACTCAGCATCTTCTCATAGTTCAGAATCAAATTTTCCGCAACATAAATTTCTACATTTGCATCGTTACCGTGGCATACGGCATCGGATTATACCAATAAAATATAGTTAAAGGAAATATCATATTAAATTGTTTATCGCCGCAGTCGTTCGACGAAACAAAATACCAGGAAAGATTCGAGCATCATCGTTATTATTGCGCCGGTTAAAAAACCACGCACCTACATCACGGGAATTCTTATTTCCGTGGTAACAGCGGCGTATCCACTGTCATTCCGACACTGTCGCGAAATTATTGTCGACGTGGCAACGACGGCTCGTCATCTATCGCGTTGACACTCATTGACCCCGGTAGATGCAGCAGTAAACTCTCGAAATTTAGGTCGGCCAACAGAAAGTCATAAGCGTAGTTCTTAAATACCTGCGGCTCTCGGCCGCTGAACACAAAATCCTTATTTCATATTCAACGGCGATTACGCAACCGTAGCCGCTCATTGAAGATGCGAAGCTGTTCAGAATCTATTTATATCGATAACACCATCGTCTGCAACTATTTCCCATACAGATTTCTAATTATACAGAAACGAGTTTTTATTTAATATAAATAGGATTCAAATTTGCTAATTCATTTGAGTCACTGAATTCATCATTTGCACGGCTTGATCCTGATCCACTATCAAATATTCCTTGACCGGATTACATTATTACGAGCATCGATAAATAATTCATTTGCTTTTTTTCTACAAATACTTTCGATAAAAGTCAGCTATACTTCTAATCTTGATTTAATATTGAAGCGTTACTGTGCCACGAAAGACGATTCAATGTACTAAATCTCAGTGGAAGTCTTTCACTACCCCTTTACTGCTTGATAAAAATTCACTAACGAAATCGGCGTTTCTCCTTTAGCTCGGAATTAGCTTCGAAACAATTCAGAGTAAAAGTAAATATATCAAAGAGGACTAATTTTAATTAAGATACATTTTTATCGATCTTTCAAGTATTCTAATACTTGAACGATACACGATGGTCCGAGAGCAATCTCGTCCATAATCATGAATTCCATTCAGGCGCTCGATACTCCACATAAATCTGCATTAATCGTCGTCGTCCGTCTCTATCGGACGCTCGAAATAGTTGCGAGATGAAGCGTGCGGAACAGATTAGCTTAATCTACATCAAAAGAACGCTAATTACGTGCCGTCGATCGTCCTCGGGCTGCGACGCGGAGCAGGCATTAGTTTCGCGTTTCATATTTCGACAAAATGTTAAATGGCGAGCAACGCGACGATCAGCGTGGCCGTCACCGGCGGCGAATGAATGAACGACCAATAGTTATCTTACGTTCGAACGAGTACAAGATAGCGGGAACGAGGGAAGGCAAGGGGCGAAGGAATCGCGAATGCCGATCACGTCGTCGAAGTAAAGTATGCCGTAAGATACGCGCGCAAGAGTGTCTTGTGTCTTTCCTGAACATCGAGCAGCGATGGGACCAAGAGTATCGTAAGTTGGGTAGAATCACTCGAAGGTATTCAATTAACTACAACGCTCGCCGTTCAGTGGAAAAGAATGTAAAACACAAGATAGTCTTTTGTTCTACGATCGTCGTTTTGCCATTTTCCAACTTCGAACATCTTAAAGTTCCTTCTAGGAACAGTAACCTTTTAACTTGATATTGATCCTCGGAATATTATTTCTTAAAATTCCACTTAAACGTACATATAGATACTTAATTATAGAAGTATACAACAGCATGTGATTAGATTATTTTATACAATATATTACAATAAAAAATTCTTTTTAATTATACAATTACCTGAGGTAAATAGACGAGGTGTACACTAGTGGAAATATCTATCCGATTCTATTTACACAGTACACCCTGTAGAACCTCCGGCAACGTAAAACGAAATACACATCTATAAATAACTTGAAAAAATGGTACCCATAAGAGGACAAGGGCAAATCAAATATACTTAGATAAAATATTTCAAGTAACAAGAATACATATATTGAAGTTGATCCCATCGCTAGCATCGGGCAACGTGGAGCTTTCCTTACGAAACCGTGCCGCTTCCGAATATGGTGCATCGAGTTCTTTTCTACCGGCGTCCGATCGCCAGTTTTCTTTCCGTGGAGACCGCGCCGTATGCTCGCCGGGAGAATCTCAGCAGTTTTGTGTCAGAAAACGGAACGACGACATACTGGGCGCGGATCTGATACCGCGGCATGACAATAAATGCGGCTATCCCTTTCGTAAACTCAATTTCCCCCGATGGATTCAATGGTGGATGATTTCGAGAGTAAAAATGCAGAGATAACGTCGAATACGGATTTCCTTATTGCCTTAATCTCGGGGATACGTCAATTTCGCTTTATTTCTGCTCTACTTTAGTTTACTTTTAACTTAATGAGATCGTTGCCTGTTACAGTTACTATACAGGACGGTATAATGCAGGAAACAATTTTCTTGTAAATAAATACAGGCCTACACGATACGCGGACGCAAAAATGAATAATTAGAGCCGATTTTTAAAGTTGATTCGGATAGAAGAGATACAACATACAATTTCAACTGATTCTCCCACAGCGATACACCTCTATCCGGTTGTACCACGAATTCAAAGCCGCACCCTGTATATAACGCGGCTTCCTGCGGCTAGAACGCATTCTACGCGACGAAGAATAATGACCAATAGATCTTGTTCGATGGAGATGAATGTTGTACAGAACCGCTATAGGATACAAGAAAAATTGACTGTGTACAAATAGAATAATGGTACTATTGTGATATCGATACGGAGTACATACATTCGGCGATGATTCTTCGCTGGAGGAGATAACTCAAGCTTTTCACGATTAAACAACATCAACGATAATACTATTCCCTTTCATTTACAATAGCAACGAGAACTTTTACTTTATAAATTCATCGACTGTGACAAAGGATGCATCACACTTTCTTACATTTTTTAATCAGGATTTGTAATTGGATAGAAGTCATTCCACAGATTTCAAGTTTAAAAAGTACGGTAATGGTTCGTGGTAATAAAATTATCCAGCTGATGAGGTATACGACGCACGATTAATACTTGTTATTATCAAATTAACGTCTTAAAGCGAGAATTTCTTGTTTTCTTGGATGCAGAAAACATGTAAGAAAAAAGTAGAGAGTCTCACTTTCTTCGACCCACCTGCAAATTCCGGTTGCTCTTCTCTTTAATGGGACTGCATACTTTCCTCGGGTAAATCGATTCCGTGCTTCACGTGGAATGACATTAGAGGAAAGTGTCCGAGGATTAAGGAGGAGGATACAGTTAGGGGCAAAACAGAAGTAAAACCGGAGTAAAACTCCGGTTCCTTCCCTCTCGGTGGAGCCTTTCTCACGGTTCTAAATCGAACAATCGAACGGCAATCTACTCATTTCCGGAGTAGATTACTAATAGCGACAGTTTCTCAGGAAAATATGCACCGAGACACAGGAAATCAATCGTATAAACGAGCGTTCTAAGGATTACGATGCTGAACCAACTTCATTCCCTCTGTACTTCCGCTGTCCGGCCATCGAACGATCTGATCCGTTGAAATGTTTGAAATCATCAGACGAATGAAATATTAGACAGAGAGATACAAACGTGTACGGGTCGGGGATCGAAGATTACACCGAATTCCAACATTCTCTGGAACCGAGTGTTGCACGGTAGACGCAACAGTTTATGCATGCACATCTGCTCGCTCGTTTTCTAACGTAAACAGCGGTGCTTGAACCATGAAATAACGGGGAGGGGCCGTGTACACAGGGATATTTTATCCCGAAAGTCTACACGCTCGCGGCCGAAACGAATTATACTTGCTAATGCGCGGGAAATCGGCGAATCAATCGTTAGAATGCCGCTGCAATGGTACCGGGTTTTCGGGAAGATGAAATGAAGTGACATTTAGGCGAGCGAACCTGACAATAAATTCGCGAGTGCACTTCATTCCGGCGTTCAATATCTGATTCGACCGGGGACTCCGGTTTCAATGCTTTCGCTCGAGTGGCTTTTCGAACCGCCTAACAATTCCCAGCCACCCCCACGGCTGTTCGTGAGGGTTGAACGAACCGCAACTTCGGAACGCGTAATGCTGTTAACGCCCCGATAACACATCGTCGCGAAAACAGTGGCACCCATCTGAAACCACCGCTAAACTTAGCTAAACGCTCGCTAACATGCGGTCTCTTCGCCGCTGTACGCGTACATTCATTAGACCAAATCAACGAAACGAACAGCACCCGCGAAGGAGGTTGCGCTGACGCTTGCCTATCCTTTCCGAAAAGCAACTAAGACACGTCGATATTCCGTGCAGGTCTCCATTTATGCAAAACGAGTCTCGTGAAGCGAACAGCGCGTTTTCACGCGATAGATTAATCGTAGCTACGAGCAACCGTACGAATCAGTCTGTCTTCCATTTCCGCCATTCCTCCGCGAATCGATGGCTGGTAGAAAAGTCAGTCTACCGTAACCGGGGAATCGTAGGATCGTGCCCGATCCCGGCAATTTTGTGTTTACAAACGTATTAATCATCCGATTACATCAGTGATCATTGCGCCACCGATATCGCGCTAGGTTTGCAGTATCGCTGTCGCGGCTCGATCTCGAGTATCGGTTACCTCAAGGACGCAGCATTTTTGCGCGAGTCGACATCCACTCGCTGGAGAAATGCTCTCCATCCATATATCATTACGCTTACGTATCTCCCGGCGAATTACACGCGTCGCCCCGTAATTCCAACGTCGGTCTCTCGCCTATCTTGCGCAATTCCTTAGGAACGCGTTTCGCCGGCCAATTCGAATTAACGATCCCGCTTACCCCCTCGTGTAACATTATCGATGTAGACTACCGAATAAAGAGTCTAGGCAGCTGCCGCAGCATCGGCCCTTCGTTAAAAAGATGCAGATGCCGGGGAAATGAGTCGGGCAGGGCCCGAAAGAGGTAATAAAGATCAGCGGGTGAACGCGCGTCGCTGTCGTTTCCCGATAAATTATCACGATTTCGTCGTAAACACCCGTGTCGCGCGATCGAGCGGCTCTTAACCCTCGCGCCAGCGGAAAATTAGTCTATAAATATCCGTCGCTTCGGTTTCTCTTTGCCAGTTATTATTAGTAGCGCGTCGTTTGTGCCGGAATCTTTGCGATCGCTGGATGACAACCCCTATTTTGGTATCCACTTCAATTCTGATGCCGCGAATGACGGGGGAAGCCTCGTACCCTCGATATCTGTCCCGGGGCGGTTTAAAAACGGGGACAGATACCCAGGCAACGAGTGTACCAAGGGGTGACTACTGAAGTAGTGAACCCAGTGAGACCATAAGCGGATACCATTTCTGTGTACCAGCTGGTATCTTCTGTTCCATGATCGCCTTTACAGTTTAACAAATGTTCCAAACCGATCGGAAAGAGAAACTATGTTAGGATCTGGGTTTCTGCTCCGGTAGAAGAGCCAGTGAGATCAAAGCGATTTCGTCTTCACCCTCATTTGACTAACTGATAAATGACGTTCTCGGCTGTGCTGGTAGCTACCAGATACACTGTATTCCTAAACCTACTTCATCTACAAACATTTTCAAGATATTCCAGCAAGTAAACTTCGCACCCCTAACGTTGATAACTGTGTCAACTCGCTACACTCTACTTCTATGCACAGTTTCACCCAAATCGGCAAGTGTTTTCTCACGATGGCTTACTGCCAAGATGAAATTCCGAACGCGCCCAGTGCCCTGCTAGTAGAATAGATTCTAGTAGAATGTGGAATTCAATCCCGAACATTTTCTTTCTTTTCGCAGCTAACGTTCTTTGGTGTAGCGCTGCCCGTAGAACGCGCCAATAGGAATACTCTCGGCAAGGAACGTGTCAAAGCGTTGTAGATTGTTAAGCAAGCAGCCTTTCTTATTTGGACCAGCAGTCGCGCTCGTTTTCCGGATACGATGCACTTTGCGCTGGAAAGATCGAGCACAACCGTTCGCACGAAAGCTCTTTAGACGATGCTTTTTCGTACGGTGTCGCGTTTTCATTCATCGACGCCGGGATTGAACGCGTGTGGAGCAGTCTGAACACTCCGCGAACAATGAGCGGCAGTCCCGGATCGCTGCCGGTGTACACCCGCCGAACAATCGGTTAAACGAGATGACAATGCGGACTGCATCTTCCCCGCCGTCATTGGGACGCGTGTCGTTGGCCCTAAACACATCAGTCGAAGTTCGCGGGTCAAACGAGCTGATGGGAACGCTTGGCGCTAATCAGGCCGGTCTAGTATTTAACGTAGACCAATGGCAACAAGACCGTCTCGGAGTGATTCACTCATTCCCATTAAGTCCATTCGAAAACGTCCATAATGCTCAGCGATGAGCAACATCTGTGATCAAGGAATGAGCACACTGTCTACCCAGAAATGTTTCTTCGTTGATTCGATTGGTAAATTTGACTTTTTTTCATTGGACAGAGGCACGAACAGGCGCTTGAACTTTTATATGAACCGTTGAGAAAATTGATCAACACTATACCCCTTTCTTGACTATAATGCTTGCTAATGAACACCCCGTATATCAGAAAAACGCACTATTCCAGATAGTGTTACTCGGAGTAGGTCTAGGTTAGGTCTTGGTTAGATAATATCAGAAATCTAATATGATTATCTGAATCTTAGTCAGTGACACAATTTCCTCTAACTTTCTACGAGTTTTTCATTTTATTTTGTGCAACCTGTTGGAACTCGTAACTATACGGGGACACTATTTGCCAGAATTAAAGAGTGCGAATGCGCCAAATAGAACGTACAACTGAAGCGATCTTTCTCGATTACCAAAAAATGGACAAATGAAATAATGACGTTATGAAGTCTATTGGTTTCATTAATACTACTGCGGCAACTTGATTATACGTACTGTACCGAGGTAAGCCGTTCTGAACTTACTGATATGTACACTGATAAGAATAATCCGACGAATACATGACGATTTACTGTCGAAACAAGCTCAAGTGCAATTCGTAGTACTAAAATTCTTGGATGAAGTTCATCGAATAAAATGTAACGTTTGGTAGGAATCAATCCATGATCCATTTATTATGTATTTACAAGTTTAACAAATAGTGTACAAATAAAAGGTCACAATAAACTGTACAAACTTTTCCTCTCAGAGTACGAAGCATAACAACGAAGGCGAAAGCTCAATAATTTTGGGAACAGCGGAATGTTCTGCAGAATTCTTGGACGCCTTGAGTACGAGATAATTACACATATTTGAGTCTTTGTTTAACAAGAATAACCTCATTTCCCTGGTGTTACAACTGACAAGTGTTACGAAATCACGAGAATGTCAAAGAAAAATATGAGAGTACATAACATTGGAATCTCGTGTAACTCCGCTTCAATGTTAACGCCTCGGACCTTTCATTCGCATTATCATTGTAGATCCGTTTCAGGCTGAAAATGAATGCCTTGTATTAAACGGTACAAACCGTGTCCACCGCACGCTGACCAATTAAATTCATTGAAATCGGAAGAACAAAGAGTCCATTATTTTGACAAACGTCCAGTGAGTCATCGGCGCTACAATGCCGCGCACAGTACGCCAATGATTCTTGCCGCCCGCAGCCGGACGTTCTATGGCTCGAACGGCAAGAAATATGTGAGCACAGCGCGTGTATACATTTCACCTCTTTCAGACTACGGATAAAGAAAATATCTCGCGCACGTTCCGAATGTAAATAAAACGTGTTGCACTGTATAAAGAAAATTCCACTCATGGAAGCGGCGCAATTGTTCGCACTGGACGCAATGATATTTACACAACACAAGGAGATGGCACTATTACCATTGATTATCATAACAATTACTCGTTAACGAAGTAATTAAGGTAATCGGTTACGTGTGTTACTCGTTCAACCAAGTTTCCATGTTTTCGCAAAACACAGTCCGATACTATTTTAATCTTTATTTATAATTAATTCTGCGACCCTCCAGTCTCTCGTTGCAGCATTAAATGTAAGACAATGGTGTAATTCTTTATTTTAAAAATATAAGTATTTGTACGTTTTTAAAAATTCTACAATGTTTTAAAATTGCAAATGTTTTTACGTATATAGAACAGAACTCATGGGAGTTTGCAACATGTAAACATTTTAAGATTGTTATAAAGCAATTTGCAGTACTCAGAATCATTGCCATAAACAGTTTAATGAGTTTATTATATAGAGCTTGTATAGTAATATCTTTTAGTAACCTACATTGCAATTTTTGTACTTTTCTCATATGAAAAATTGATTCGTTTTAAATTGTATTACTCTTATCACAGACGAACGATAGTGCTTAGGTAAAAAGTGAACATCAAACTGTACACATGCCACTTGGTGACGAGACGTACACTGATACCAAACAATATACACGGTGCTCAATAAATACTGTCAGGTTTTATATTCCAACTTACAAATTAATCACAAGTGTATATTAATTTCGCAATTAATTACAAGGAATAAATATCCCACGGCATGAGTATCCATTTAATCTTGTACCATTTCTTAGACATTAACATTATCACAATATTTGTTTCCTCGATACTTCTACAAATTACATTATTTACAATAATCTTATGTAATTTCAATTAGAATGATGAGTATGACAACAAACGTTAATACAAATACTATAACAAAACATTCCCCTTATTCCCCGTAGTTATAAATAAACCTATAAACTTTTCTATAAAGCAATAACACTGTAATCAAAATTTCCCGCCAATTTTGTCGAAAACGAAAATTCCTGTGGTCGCAGAATCGATAATGAAAAACTGTGTATCGATTAGCATACAATCGCGATATATCGTTATTCATAGAGTCGAACTCTCGGTGCCTGACAAGTTTTAAGTCAGTAACGGTCACCAACTTATTCTATGCAATAACGTTCCAGTCGATTCAGGAATGTTCTAAATTACTTCCACTGTTACTTCAACACCAGCTGGCCATGAAAACACGTAAGCCGCTATTAATCTTTTTGTTGCTTTAAAATAACGTTAGAGCAACGTTTCGTTAAGTCGTCGCGCCAAATGACACGTTCATTGAACCCCTCCGCACGAGACCGCGCGTTCTAATCTAAATGACACCACTTACGCAGCCCGGTTATATTCTAGCCACGCACGTGTACCATACCGATTTCTTGACGTATATATACGTTTTGCGTACAGGATAAATAATTACGCTAAAGATTAGATAAGCCGTACTTTAGAGAAGAAAGATAACCTTATTGCCTACTAACGGCAAGCCTAGAAAAATCCACAAGTGATTAACAAAATAACAGCTTTCCCCTTAGACAATTCAAATTCCCAACACTGACACTTACGTGGACGCGAAACACAGAACAATACCAACGTTAAAAGAAAAACTCTAGATCGCACGGACTCGTCAACAAAATTTCAACAGCTACCAGCGACTGTTCACCGAAGCCGCGATCCCTTGTCAAACGTACAGCAACAATACCGAACAGCGAGCGAACCGCTTGAAAATATCCTGCCGGCTTTTCCGCCGTTAAAAGCCAACCTGTCAAGCCGCCGAATAGATAAGACGCAACCGCAAAATAAATCGTGGTGTCAACTCACGTGACGGGCGCCGATTACGAAGTAAAAGTAACAACGACCGTCGAGATTCCGGGCCTGTGATACACGGCACGGAATCGTGTGCGATGACGTACCTATGTAAACGACTTCCATCTTGAGACGTTGGGAGAGACGCAGCCACCGGATCGGCGACGTAACGTGTATCCAAGGGCACGTCGAATGGAAAAGCACGAATATCACATCGATTACGGCCGCCACGAGGCGAACACCGAGCCGTCTCTCACAGCTTGCACGAGCGAAACGCGAGCACTGGGGTACAACGAGGGCTTGCCGCGTTCAGATCGTACACCGTGCCGAACCGATCTCGAGGATGAGGTTAGAAACGCGCGCGCGCACACACACCGCGCGCATCGACGCTCCGTGCGCGACACTTGTTGATTCGACACTGTCAAGAAGCCCACTGCACCCGTATGCGCGCGAACACCTCGTCACTTGCACACATGGACTTTTAACTTTCTCTCTCCCTCTCTGTCTCACTTTTGTGTTTCTCCACCTTTTCCCTCTTTCTCTCCCTCTATCACTCTCTCTCTATCTCTCTCTCTCTCTCCCCGTGTACCGTCTCGTTCCCACCAACGATGGCGTTTCTTTCGAGCCTTCACGATCTTCGCCGCGATCGAGCCACGGACGTGAAACCACGATCGTGTTCTTTCCCCGAACGACCGACTGTCATCGGAAAGGTCCCGGAAAGGGACTGGCAAAGGGGAGCGATCGAGGATGACGATCACTGAAACGACAGACGAACCGCGACCGAGAAAACGAATAAAGAAACACACCGACAAAACGTTCTCGCTGTCGTGCGAGCGTCGACGGAACGCCCGAACGAACCACACACCGGCCGAGTCTCGAGCGAACTGGCAACCTCGGACGCTCCGACGAGTAAGGCCCAACTTCCCCCACCTTTCCCGCCCTCCAGCGATGCTCACTCGATTCTATCTCGCTCGTGCCTTCGGCCTCTTTTGGTCCTTTTCCCTCCAAACCGTACGGACTGTCCCTTTCCCTAACGTGTTCTGGGACTTTGCCCACGTAGAAAACAATGCGAGGATTGTTGAAATTTTTATTCGGAACTCTTAATACGGCGGCATCGCCGATGGGCGTGTTTTGGTAATTCTGTTTTTATCGGGTTCGAGGTTGTTAACTTACATGTGTATGTCGAATAATAAAATATGTAATTTAACAATCACCCAAGTGGAAAGATAACGTTCGAAAATGTTGAAACATAAATTAGATGTTATTAGATGTAATTAGCATACGAATGTTTATGTAAATATGGGTTATTAGACGGCAACTTGCAATCAGCTGCAGTCATATATAAATTTATTTAGTCCGTAGGATAGTATTGATATATAAAATCCTTAGTGTAATAATTACGCGCTTAATTGTTATTATTTCAAGGTCGATTTGTGAGAAAGTGTGGCGTTTCGAGTGTAAATATTGTTAATTGAATTTTGAATATATATATTGAATATATATATATATATATATATATATATATATATATATATATATAGAATCTTTATATGTAAAATCCTTATATTACTTGACAGGGAATAAATTAATTGATAAGGTCGATAAAAGCGTGGGTCTGTGGAATGTTTTGAAGCTGTGGCTTTGAGGCCCAAAGAGACGGACAAAAATCAGGATCTACGGATAGTGGAGTAGGCCCTCGAGCCTGTCCCTAGCGAACCGTAAGGCCCAATGCATCACAGGTAAACAGGATCCCAGAAATCGAAAGAAGTGGTCTCTCGAATGGAACAGGTAGACGGAGGTGGGTCGTCCGTCCCCACAGTGCGCACCATAACTCCTATGTTCGTACCAATCATTATAACGAGATTATTTATTTTGCAAAAACGTGTAGTTAATATACTACACAGTGGCACAGAAACAATTTATTAATACACTGTCTGCTGAATATAGAAGGTACAATTTTTTGCTAACTTTGAATGAATTTGCATTTACGATCAACTTTATAAAGTTATTGTGGTAACACATGCTGTTACTACCTTCTTAAACAATATTATAATTATTATATATTTATAATTATGTTATCGTTATAAACATCTAAATATTTCGAAATAGTTTTTTAACTTCTAAATACGAATGTACCTTAATAGCATTATATATTTCAAACTTCAGAATATATTATGTTATATTTTAATTTATGGTCATTCTAATTGTTATTTTAGCACTTCAATATTTACAATACAAAAGGAAATAATGTACTAAAGTATATTAATCATTAATTTTATGAAACTTTGAGAAATGGCAATGAACGAACGGTACAATGTATTAAACATAATGCAAATTTTGATTCTGCATACTAATAGTGATTTTTATTGACCACGTTCATTCATAACAGTGTATTTGAATTCATTAACGACCTTCTGCTTCTAAACTGATGGACACATCAAATTAACGAGGAAACTGGAGGCACTAGAGCGCTAATATTTTGATATGACGCGATTTCTCAATCCTGTGACATAACTCGTCATTTTGAAGGACCAGCCGAATCGCGACGTCAAGAAATTACTGCAATTCCCAGAAACGCGTCTACATACGTGTCCGTATCGGGGACCTCCCACAGCGTTACGTCTGCGACCCGGCTAATCACATCAATTTTAAACATGGATAGATTATCCGACAGTTTCTACAATTATGAAACAGACGATCGTGTAACTCACATCAGTTGATAGATTTACTTACAAATATCATCATCCATACTTGAGCTCTTCTAGGCTGCCATTTGAAATAAATAAATAATTTATTAAACACTCAACTTTTTACACTTGCATTACAATATTATACATTTAACTGCTCCTTATGCAGTCACACACTGTCATTCATTAGCACTTGCATATTGATGAAATTCTTCTTTTTCAATCATCCTTCAAGTTTTTTAACGAAAAAGTAATCACGCTATACAACTCGTTGTCCGAATGAATAAGATCATGAATGATAAAAGTAAAAATGAAATAAATATCGTGCCGCGTACGACTCTCGGTAAATTAAATTCTGTAGCGTGATTCTACGAAGCTATCATTTCCCTTTCATGTAATCTCCTCTTTTTCAACAGTTCTAAATTGTCGGCTGCACTCGAATTAACGCAAAACGGAAATCTTGAACAACTTCAATCGCGGAGTTTCGCAATTCACACAAGTACGTTATTCAATTCATGTTAAGTGGATTTTAATGGATAACACTTCCTGATTTCGTTGAAAAGGAACAACCTCGTTCCATGCTGTCTGTCGCGGCACTGTAAGGTGTTGGGAAGCTTGCCTCGTAGGCGATCTTCTTTCCAGAAGTCAGCGCCGACGCATCAAATAACAAATTTGTTCGAACGCATCGAAATGTAACTTCATTATCGCTTATTTGCAATTATGCTAATAGCTCACATTTATGCAGAACGAGTACGCCTAGTTCTTCCGTGCTAAACCCTTATCACTAATCAAATTCTGCAACATTTCCTCGGTCGTAGCGGTAACAAATAATTGTTGTCGTACCACTTTGATAAACGATTAATTATGTAGCACGAAATAATCATTGGTTAATTAGTTCTAAATACTGCAAGTTTATAGTGCAAGTATTCTTCTTAACTTTCATCGAAGAATTTTCTTAGAATGCAATTCTTGTTCAATATTGTAAAAGTTTTAACACAGTATCAATATATTGCTTCCTTCAAGAAATACATAATTAAAACGTACAATTTCAAGGTTTACACATATCCACCGCTCTTCGTTCGCGAAATGCACTTACCAGAAATATCGCACATGTTCTAAAAATACCATCACGTGCGAATTATAGGAGGGAATATGAACAAAGAGTAATGCCTGCTAATGGATGTACTACAAGAAATGACGCGCGTAATAAACACTGAGCCAAATTAAATTACATATGCAGTGTCGCGTTTTCAAATATCAACGGTATGACACATTAAACATTAAAATAATTAGACGTTTTAATTTCATGAATTTCGTAATTGTCATACAATTTTTATAGATATACAAACACACGTGTCGATATTAAGGAAAGGAAATAATATTTCTAGAAAATTCATAGAGTATACATCTTTCTTAGCAATGAAGTGAAACTGGACCCTTGATTATCGAGTCATACGATCACAACGCAATTCGTTTACGATGGAACAATATCAAAATAAAATCCTGAAACACACATTGTCTTGATTTACCAAATTCTTTTGCACGCTTTTGATGATAAATGAATTTATCGATCAGAATGGGACACACTGTACATGTAATAAAGTTCTCGATGTTCGCGATTCAAAAGCGACGTTCGCGGCTTCATTAATCAACGTCCATGAGAAATCTCTAATTGGAAACGTCTGTTAAAGGAGTCTTTAAGTTACACGTACAAAAATAGACGTTTGTGAGTACTTCAAAGAACGCTCTTCAAACCGATACTTTAAGGTTTCACAATGCGATAAGGCACATCGTGGACGACATTCGGTCGTTTCACTTCACCTTGAATCATCAATTGAAACGTGATTGAAATTCGAGCAGTGCGAAAAAGTTAAAATAGACTGTCACGAGTGGAAACGTAATTTTCTTCCAGCCTCATTTCCATGCATCAAAATCCGCTAGATCACACTTAAGATGACACAAACGGTAAATCAAAGTTCTCTAAGCACAGAAATTCAAAGCATAGTCAAAATTATACATATCTACATAATTTATTAATTCTTCCGTTCTGTATAAAAATTATTTCATTAATATGCCATAAATTAATATGGTTACACTCGACATTGATGAACTGTTTTCTTCCAATAGCAATATACAAGCATACAAATGATTATGGTAATAAAACTTTTTTTCCGCGAAGTCTACAATACAAGGTAAAACGAGGCGTGAAACTTGATCACTTCTATTTATAATTACGTAAATGACATGTGGCGTCAGTATTAGGTGTGCTTTCCTAGCGAGTGTATGAATTGCTACGCTATTGGATCTGCATCGACTTTAATGTGATTAGTCGTATTCGATGTTTGCTACTTTCGGCGTATTTTCATTCGGTTTGATCGACATTTGATGCCGTCAACACTTTCATTTGATCGAGATAATCGTTTCTTAATACGGTTTCCTTTTATCTACAAATTGAACTTACCTTTAATGCTAGAAATTTGCTCCTCGACGCTCTCACCTTGCCACGGGCTTTCCTCCACTTGAATAATCCAGCGAATCTTCCTCGATTGCATCTGCGAGAGACGGACGTGTTCACTCATCTCACTTTCCGATTGTTAAAACATTATTCGACCGAAACGAACCATTGATCGGACAGCAGCGAACTGCACGCGGCTAGACCAGTAGTTTACGATAGATTTAATGTCGATGTGTCGGTATCGGTGTACGATTATTTTTTATGGATAGAACTATACAGATAATACGAGTCGGAATGCGTTTCAAGAACCGTAATCGTAACTTTGGTACGCGTTCAGTATCGTTCAGCTTCTTTCGATTTTTAAACACGAACGACATTTATATAATTCTTAATAATTAACAATACTCGTATTCACGCACAGAAGTAATATTTTTAATTCCTAAATTATCACGCGATTGATCGATTCGATATTTGAACAGATTTTTATTCTATTATTCGATAAGTGTCAATATTATTAACGTATTTAACAGTTACACCATTAGTTAAGATAAACCTAAACTTTCCGCGTATTTTCCACTATGTATCAGTAACCAGATAAAATGCTCTAGGTGCAATTTAAGAGTGTTAGTCACATTCATTTCCGAATGAAATGTGAAAATGAACTGAACTATCGCTCAAACGTTTGGAGTTTCATTCGTTATTCTAAATCAATTGTCCTATTACAATCGTTTCAGCTTTATTTTATTTTGAAAGTTCCGAACTTTTGAGCGTCAGTGTACGATAGTGAATGATATCTGAAAGTGGATTAACATAATGTTCAGGCGAATTGGTTGAAGAGGGAACAATTGTGCGAGCAATTACCTCAGATCGTGCAGCGGAACATTAAAAAAGTGTCTGTGAACGCGATGCTTTCATAGATTGACGGTAGTGTGTTGCGTTGTCGCGGGCAATACTCGTTCCACACTGACTATGATTTGTCTGTCAACGGAAGTGACACCCTGGGCTGTAACTATCTGTCGGTTCGTTGCATCGACCACGCGCGCGTCAACGTCCAGTTTGCCAAGAAGAATTGTCAGAAGTTCTACACCCACGGGTCTGTCAGTCGCAGACTCAGACAATCAGTGCTCCCGTCGACATGATATTCCGGCACGAGTGTGATCCACTCGTAAATTCGTCTCAGTTATTAATTGAAGTATACCATTCATCGTACTTAGCTGCCTGAATGCGCACTATACAGGATGGAACTTGATGAAACATGGCATCAAACGCGATGAATCCGAAAATATTACAGATGATAATGGTAGCAGTGAGAATAATATTTTTATTGCACCGATTGTCGTAACAATGCAAGAATGATAAAGAAATAAAAGTAACATGAAAATATAGGAAAACAAATATAAATATTATAATAGGATTTAGCGGGTAATTAGAGGCACCAACAAACTTAATTTAAATTATACAACGTATCTTGCAACTAGAGAAATTTCCATATGCATGTTTATTTGTAGCACTCAATTGACTCGATGCGCGTCTCGTATATCGGTGCCGGATTCAGAATTATTGTAATATCAAACGAATTGCATTTGAAAAGTTTTCATTAGTATACTTTGGCTTCTTGGAAATCAATGTGGTACTCATATATAACAAATACAATTTATTTTATTGAATGAAACTTAGTTGTTTACAAAATTAAATCAGGATTAAAAAGTTCGTCGATATTGAATATATTGAATTTACTATCGAAGTTAGAATTAGAGTATTAATTGATAATTAAATTATTAGAATTAAAAGTAGAATTTTGTATTGAATTGAAAGATCGAGGTTTAGAAGTTAATGCGCAAAATGCGTATATATGTACTTCGTTACAATCTGATATTCCTTTATTAAAAAGTCTTTTGAAATATATTAATGAATATGTGCATTACTTTTTTAAAATAGTACTGTAATAGTAATTCTTATTCACTGTTTTTCTATTATGATAATTAAAAAATATTTAATTGAAGAAATTGATTTGAGCAGTCGATAACATAATTACGCATGCGCTGAAAAATTAGAATGAACACATAACCACGAGGTAGAAATTGAAAGTAAACGTACAACATAACCTACAAGAAAACGTTTAAATATTAAACTGTAAAAATGTATTTAATGTATTATTTAAATGAGAGTGGTGATCGAGTGTATACTCTGAAGGTATTAAGAATTCTCTATTCATATAAATTATAAAATACATTTCGTATGTTTTGTACATTTTATACATGTTGTATATCAAATGATTATACTTTGCTTCCGTACATTGTGCGTTTATTTAACGGGAATTATTAATTTATATTTTTATTTTTTAAATATTAATGTTTACTTATACATGACTTATATTTTTCTAGAAAGTTGATCCAAATGGAAAACCCACATTATCAGCACATCCAGGTAAGTAAAAAATTTTTATTTTCTCACAAGCAACAGGTATTTAATGATAGGAATGATTTCAGCTCGATTTTCTCCAGAAGATAAATATTCTAGAGAAAGAATAACATTAAAGAGGAGGTTTGGTCTATTACTCACGCAACAACCATTACCTACTTATTAATACTTATTTGTTATCTGTAATTAGGTGTACCAATTCAATATACAAAAAAATGCAATTAAATTTTATAATCTAAAATAAATATGTAATAAATGTATTTACCGTATTCATATTTAATAGATATGACTAATTATGACCAACGCCTACAACTTCCTCTTTTGATAATATAAGCTTGCCAACAAATTATGGGAGTCTCATTACAATATGTTTGTTCCATTTGCAATTCTGTTTAATTTGGTACCTAAATCTAATGAAGTATTGTTAACATTATAGACATAAATTAACTATTCATGTTATTTATTATAAATACCTTTTTATTCAGAATTTAGTATATCTTAACATGTACATATAAAAAATAAAAGTTATATTTGAATATATTATACAATATCTAATGACTTCAAATAGCATACAATTTTATTAGAAAAACATATTAACAGGATTATATCAAAACCACCTTCAATGTATTTTAATCTTAATATTATGTAAAAGATGGTTTAAAATTTTACAAACTAC